AGAGAGAGAAAGCGAAGGATGAAGGTAGGAGATGATCTGCAAGAAGAGAGCTGATCAAGATCGAGAAGAGAGGAGAGGGAGTTTCTTCTTCTTCCGCTTATGTATCCGTTGTTTTTTCCAAGCATTCCTTGCTGTTTCCCTTCTACTGCGTCTTCCTCTCTTGCTGACTGAGAAAAGACAAGATTCTTAAGATCAAGGACAGCGGAAGGGACAGGGAAACCTTTTTCGCCTTTCTTATCTGTCCCTTTGAATCTCCTCAAACCATGAACAGAAGACATAGGCACGCATGAGAGAAAGAAGGCAAATTAGAGCGAACACTGGAAATTAACCCTGCTCCAGAGGGGGAGAGGGAGCCCCTTTCTGCAACTCACAAAACAATGTTTTCTTCCCTCTCTCTGATAGTCCATTTGCTTCTTTTTGACCTGTCTTATTTTGCCCGTAAGAGAAGACAAGCACTCGGGTCAGCTCCTTGTCGTTTTCTCCCAGTTGTCTCTTCATGTCTTTTTGTGTATTCATTTGTTTCGTATGCAAGAAAAGAGCCAAAGCAGACGGAAAAGCGAGGAGTGCGTTTCCTCCCAGTCTTATGCGCTCATTCTTCTCAATAAGATAATAGAGAGAAGCACTCTGGTTCATTCTTTGCTGTTTTCATCCTACAATCTCTTCCTCTCTCGCTGAACGAGAAAAGAAGAGAGCAAGGGCAACGACAAGGTACAAGGAAAACTTCTTCCTACTTTTGTCCATTCTTTATTGTTTTCCCCCTGCAGTCTCTTCCTCTCTCGCTGAATGAAAAAAGAAAAGAGCAAGGGCAACGAAAAGGGACACGGAAAGCGTCTTCCTCTTTTTTTTTGCAGTTCCCTTGAATTTCCTAAGCACAAAAGAACAGAAAACCTGGCAACGCAGGAGAGAAAGAAAGCAAAGAGAGGGTGTAAGGGCACTCAGCGGCCTCCCTTCTTGCCACGAACAAAAACAATCCATCCTCCCCTCTTTTCCCGTCCATTAACTTCTCCTTTCCTTGTCCTCTTGTGTATTCATTGTCACGTGTGTAAGAAAATATTTGGCTTCGAACATCCCCACCCTCTCTTTGTAGAGATACTCTGGGGTTGGGCACTCCAGCAACACTCTGGGGCTGGGCTCTCGAGGGAGACACTGGGGTTGGGCTTCAGGGAGACTCTGGGTTTGGGCACTGGGGTTGGGCCTCTGGGGTTGGGCCTCCAGAAACTCTGGGGTTGGAGACTCTGGGCTGGGCACTCCTGGAAACGGTGGGGTTGGGCGCCCTAGGGAGACTCTGGGGCTGGGCTGGGGTTGTCTGGGGTTGGGCACTCCAGGGCCACTCTAGAGTTGGGCACTCCAGGGACACTTTGGGGTTGGGCGCTCCAGGGATGAGCGAGGAGTAGACCGGGCGAGGAGAAGAGTTCCGGGCGAGGAGAAGAGTCCCGGGCAAGGAGAAGAGTTGAGTTCAAAATCAAACAACCCCACACCGAGGGTGGGCAACAAAGAAGAGAGAAGGGAGATAAGAGAGACGAGCGAGGATGATGGTGGCGAGATTCATGTGCATTCTTGCATGTTCCGTTTTCCTGCTGTAAGAAAAGCGCAACAGAAGTGGGAAAAGAAAGACGAGGCAGGATGAGTAGTGACTGAAATTGCCGCCTTGTATATGTATTTGTCTTTCTGTAACGAGATAGACTATAGAACAGGGATAAGAGGGGAGGGGGAATTTCTTCGCACGCCCGACTTTCACAAAAAGAGCAAAGGGAAGCCTTGTTCCCCAAGCAGTCTACTGTTGGATTCTAAACTCATTGTTTTCTTCCCACAATCTGCAGCGAAGCAAAGAATGTCTCTTTCCATCTCGTCTTATCCATTTGCTTCTCGTCTGGAAGAAAGGAACAAAGAAGAGAGGGAGAGAGAGAGGAGAGAGAATGCGAAGGATGAAGGTAGGAGATGATCTGCAAGAAGAGAGCTGAACAAGATCAAGAAGAGAGGAGAGGGAGTTTCTTCTTCTTCCTCTTATGTATCCGTTGTTTTTTTCAAGCGTTCCTTGTTGTTTCCCTTCTACTGTGTCCTCTCTTGCTGACTGAGAAAAGACAAGATGCTTAAGATCAAGGACAGCGAAAGGGACAGGGAAACCTTTTTCGCCTTTCTTATCTGTCCCTTTGAATCTCCTCAAACCATGAACAGAAGACATAGGCACGCAGGAGAGAAAGAAAGCAAATGAGAGCGAACACAGGAAATCAACCCTGCTCCAGGAAAAGAGGGAGCCCCTTTCTGCAACTCACAAAACAATTTTTTCTTCCCTCTCTCTGATCGTCAGTTTGCTTCTTTTTGACCTGTCTTATTTTGACTCATCTTCTTGCATTTTATCCTTTCTCCTTTGTAAGAACACAGCCAAAGAAGAGGCTGCGGGAGGGTGAACACCTTTTACCGACATATTCCCTTCAATCTACTCGAATAGAAGACGGAACAGAAGACGTCGGAACACGAGAAAGAAGGCAACAGAGGGAGAATTACTGGAGTCTGCCATTTGCTTTTCCTGTCTCCTTTGTAAGAAAAAGCCAAAGAAGAGGTTGAAGAGGAGACGGAGGATGAAGAAGGCAAAATGGAAGGAATGAGCGGGCTCAACCCTGCTCTAGGGGGGGAACCCCCTTTTGCAACGATCTCGTCTAGAAGAAAGGAACAAAGTGTGCGTGTGTGGGTGTGTTGTGTGTGGAGAACAATTAAGAGGTCATATCATACATAAAGGTTCCTGCCACATATATATATATATATGTATATAATATATGTATAATAGATATATATATATATATAAAGATAAAGTATCCCCGAAGCTCCGAATCAGCTAGCAACCTTGAAGCCCATTGAGTCACAAGGCATTGCCCCTGGGTTCAACTACACAGGGTTTAGGGTTTAGGGCTTAGTGTTTAGGGTTTAGGGCTTAGGGTTTAAAGTGTAGGGCTTAGTGAAGTTTAGCGTCTCAAGGGTGTCGGGCTGAAAGGGATTAGGCTACCCACGCGGCATCAGGCCAAACAAAAAGAGCAAGGGCAAGTGCAACGAGGACCCAAACCGAACAGACCCCGAAAGCTCAAGAACCGGCATCACCTATCTAACTTTCTAGAGTTCTTAAAGAAGAGGGGTTCACGGGGGTAGGTACCTAGGGAACCGTAGGGAAGCTTAGGGAGCCTTCGTGAGCAGTAGGGATTATTATGGAAGCTTGGGTTAAATATCCTCCCTCCCTTCAGAACCCCGAAACCCCTGGTTAAGAAACCCGGCGCCCCAAACCCGCAACCCCTGATTCGTGTCCCTAAACCCTAAACGCTACACCCTAAACCCTAAACACTAAACCCTCAACCCTCAACCCTTAAACCTTCACCCTGAACCCGTGAACCGCGGAGCTCATGGGCTTCCGCTGCTCTTGGTAGGCATGCACTTTGCCGGGCCTTGCCGCAACGCGGTTTAGGGTTTAGGGTTTAGGGTTTAGGGTTTAGGGTTTAGGGTTTAGGGTTTAGGGTGTAACATTGCAGTAGGGTTTTTGCTAGTAGGGTTTAGGGTATGTTGCGTATCTATAGATGAATATGCTTCATTATTTCTCCGGTTTGAAGATCGGTTTTCTACAGGCCCGAGAGCTTACATGGTTTATAGACCTTTTTGCGGACAGTGTAGGCCTGAAGCCTGAGCACACCAAACGCGTTTAAGGATGACCTGAAACCCTCATGAGCAACTTAACAGAAGGAAGCACTCGAGCAGAAAACCCTCATCAAACAGACAGCTCGAAACCCTCCTATGTAAAGCCTTGCCTAGCTCAGCTTTGCTGAAGCCATATGAACGATAAACACTTTAAACGCCCACGCAAAAAAAAAACTTGGAGCCCCCTGTCCATGGGTTCCCTTACTACCCCCCTGTATACAAGCCCCCCCCCCATCCCCCCAAATTCCCCCCTTAAATAACCTGATTTGGGCTTCATTATCCCTAAAAGGGGGGGGGGGTGGGGGGGTGGGAGGGCAGCCCGAAACCCTAAACCCTACAGAGGGGGTAGTAGGGGAACCCATGACTTTTTGGAAGCCTCTCACCTCAACGTGCCCTCAACCACTCACACATAACCAACAAAAAAACACCTGGCCCCAAACGCTGTTTACAACCCTGAGCCCTGAACCCTAAACTCTCAAACAAAATGCAAAACCCCAAGCCCTACACCCTAAACCCTAAACCCCAAACCCCAAGCCCTAAACCCCAAACTCCAAACCCAAAGCCCTAAACCCTGAGCCCCAAACCCGAAACCTAAAGCCCTAAACCCTAAACCACAAAACGAAAAAGACAGTTTTTTTTCCAAACTCCAGCCTCTGGATGGCGGCGTGGCGGATGCGAGGTCGCGAGGTCTGCCGCTCCGGATTCTGCGAGGTGGTGCTTCGGGTCTTTTCGCAAAGTTTCTTCGAAATAGGGTTTAGGGTTTACTGTCTACTGTTTAGGGCTTAGGGTTTAGGGTTTGGGCTTAGTGCTTAGGGTTTAGGGTTTGTGTATGTGTGTATATATGTTTGTTCCAATATTCCCTGATATTTCAGGCATTACGGTTATGACACTCTGATTTGCTGTTGTTGTGTTTTGCATTTTGTTTTGGGGGCCCCCGAGACACCCGAGATATCTGAGACGCCTGACTCAGCTGTCTCCCCTGTCCCAATTGTCTCAGCTGTATCCCCTGTCCCCCCCCCCCCCTGTCTCAGCTGTCTCGCCTGTCTCCCCTGTCTCCCGTGTTGAAACCAAAACCCTGAACCCAAAATGGTGACGTTTAGGATAGTTTGGGGTTCAGGGTGCCGTGCCTTCTTGGAACTGAGGCCTGTTCAGTGCTGCAAGCTGCTACAACGCTCCTCGACCGTAAGACTCTGGAGACGCCGTTGGGACTTTTCTCATACAGTAGACCTCATGGCTGTTTGCAGATCAGTGCTTGAGAGCAATTCATCAGCTCTCTGGAAGACACGACAAGGGGCAAGCTCATTAAAACACCTACGCCTTCCTCAGACCAAGCGCACGCCACCCGATACGGCAACAATGATCAATACCGCACATCCCAACCCACGTGCAGCAGAAACTTCTGGTTCTGGTTCTGTCTCGTTGCATCTCCAGCACCGTGAGTTTGTGGTGATGACGGTGGCGTAGTTGCATTTCCAGCACTCCGTGATGGTGGTTGACGTGGTCGTTGCCGTCAAGCTCGTTGCCGTCCACGTCGTGCTGCTGGAACTGCTAATCGTGCTGCCCGTACTGGTTGTCACGGTCTGTGTCGTGGCCGTGGCCGTGCTCGTCGTTCCGGTCGACGTGGTACTGCTCGACCTGGTGATGGTCGACATTGTTGTGCCCGTGCTCGTCGTGATGGACGCTGTGGTCGTAGTTGTCAACGTGACAGTCGTGCTTGTCGTAGGGATCTGCTTACAAAACAGGCGAGTGCTGACATGGGCCGCGCCAGTGGGATGGTAGTTCCAGTGGAAAGCGCTGTACATTAAGAAACATCCTTTCGGATAGTAACTTTCATTATGCTCAACGAAGCGACCATCCCCGTTTCTGGGGTCGGTATTGTTGAAATATATGCACTCCTCCAGCGTAAGGTCATCCGATCCGACTGGGCACTCGTTGCTATTGTATACACTCACCTCTACGATGTTGGCATGAGCCCCTGTGGCCGCCAGGACAAGCAGCAACACGACTCGCACGGCCATGGTCGTTGGAAGCAAATAGCACTGCTGAACACAGTGGCATGCGTTTTGAGCCAATCCAGCGCAAAAAAACAACACACTTCACGCCACGTTTGCTAGCTATGACTCTGCTCTTAAGGGTTCATGGGTGAGGGGTCGGGGCCTCTAGGAAAGTCGTAGGGCTAGGGAACCCTAAATACTAAACACCACCATGCCTGAGGCAAACCTTGGCAGAGGAGGGGGCAAGTGCAGGGGTACAGGGACATGATCACCCGAGGGCTTGGGGTTTCGTAAGGGTTCAGTCAGGGCTCAGGAAGCCCTGACGCCCTAAACTCTGTAAACCCTCAAAACATAAACCCTAAACCCCTGCACCCTACAAATCCTAAACCCTAAACCTTACCCAACCCCTAAACCGTACCCTACACACAAAACCCTACCCTACACCCTAAACCCTCAAGCCTAAACCCTAAACTCTAAAGCTTAATCCCTAACTCCGAATCAAAGCCACCTACCTCGTCGTCTTCGAAAGGGAGGGGGAGACGCGGGTCTGATCCTGCGCGGCTTCTTTCATGCTTTCAGGGCTTTATTCATGCTTTAAGGGTTGGAAGGGCTAGGATTTAGTTGCTTACGGGTTGAAGGGTTTAGGGTGTAGTGGTTGAAGGGTTGGAGGGTGTAGGGTTTAGTTGTTTAAGGGTTGCAGGGTTTAGGTTTAGTGGTTAAGGGGTTGGAGGGTGTAGGGTTTAGTGCTTTAAGGGTTGAAGGGTTTAGTGGTTTAAGGGTTGAAGGGCTTTGGGCTTCGTGCTGTTGAAGGGCTAACAGGTTTAGGGAACTTTGAGTTTCGGGATTTCGGAGTTTTGGGATGTATAGGGACTTAGGAATTTGGAGCTTTTGGGGTTCGGTGGGTAGGCATGGGCATATGGGCATGTACCTTTCTATGGTGTTTAGGGTTTTGGCTTAGGCTTCGGGTTGAGGGTTTCGGGTTTCGAGTCTAGGTCTGGGGTTTAGGGTGGAGGATTTAGGGTTTATGGGTTCAGGGTTCAGGGTTTGGGGCTTTTTCAGGGTCTGGGTGCATAGTGGGTTTTAGGCGTACCTTCAAAATGTCAGTGTCAGGGTCTGCCAAGGCGCATAAGGGTGGATTTGGGGTACTCCTTGTAAGAACATGGGCTTAGGATGTAGGGTTGTAGAGGGATTTGTAGGGGTTTAGGCCCTGAACCCTAAACCCTGACCCCTCTGGGTTTAGGTATTCTTTTTGGCTGAAGGGGTACGGTTTAGGGCTTTCGGCTTGGTGCTATTGCCTTTATGGGCCCTCGAGGGCTTTGGGTGTTGTAGTGCTAAGCGCCATGAGGCCATGAGGTTCAGAGTTTAGAAGGTTTCGGGCTCAGGGTTTATAAGTAAGGTTTAGGTTTTTTGGGGTTTATAGGGTTTGAGGTTACACGACGGCAGGCGAACACGTCGTCCGAGACCATTTTGAACCTGTTCTTGAGGTCATCTGCCACCAGTTTTCGAAGCATTCCAACAGAGCATTTGAGCTCGTTGCAAACGATGCTGATCGGCACTCTCCCCCCATGCCGGCGCGAACACTCGGACCCACGTAGAAGTGTGGTCAGGGCCCGCTTCTGCCGCTCTGTCGGCTCAGGAGCCCTGATGGCACCTTGGGTGCTGCAGCACTGCATGCCTTTTAGGGTTTAAGGTTTACGGTTCAGGGCTTAGGGCTTAGGGCTTAGGGTTTAGGTTTAGGGTTCTAAACCCCAAACCCCAAAACGTTAATATACACACACACACAAGAAACGGAGAGACGGCAACAGAACATGCAGCCATGAGTCGGAGCTCCGGGGGCCCTTAAGCCATGTTCCAACTTTCTGGAGTTTACTGTAAGGTTTTTAGGGCTTAGGGTTCTGGAGTTTACTGTAAGGTTTTTAGGGCTTAGGGTTCTGGAGTTTACTGTAAGGTTTTTAGGGCTTAGGGTTCTGGAGTTTACTGTAAGGCTTTTAGGGCTTAGGGTTCTGGAGTTTACTGTAAGGTTTTTAGGGTTTAGGGTTCTGGAGTTTACTGTAAGGTTTTTAGGGCTTAGGGTTCTGGAGTTTACTGTAAGGTTTTTAGGGCTTAGGGTTCTGGAGTTTACTGTAAGGTTTTTAGGGCTTAGGGTTCTGGAGTTTACTGTAAGGTTTTTAGGGCTTAGGGTTCTGGAGTTTACTGTAAGGTTTTTAGGGCTTAGGGTTCTGGAGTTTACTGTAAGGTTTTTAGGGCTTAGGGTTCTGGAGTTTACTGTAAGGTTTTTAGGGCTTAGGGTTCTGGAGTTTACTGTAAGGTTTTTAGGGCTTAGGGTTCTGGAGTTTACTGTAAGGTTTTTAGGGCTTAGGGTTCTGGAGTTTACTGTAAGGTTTTTAGGGCTTAGGGTTCTGGAGTTTACTGTAAGGTTTTTAGGGCTTAGGGTTCTGGAGTTTACTGTAAGGTTTTTAGGGCTTAGGGTTCTGGAGTTTACTGTAAGGTTTTTAGGGCTTAGGGTTCTGGAGTTTACTGTAAGGTTTTTAGGGCTTAGGGTTCTGGAGTTTACTGTAAGGTTTTTAGGGCTTAGGGTTCTGGAGTTTACTGTAAGGTTTTTAGGGCTTAGGGTTCTGGAGTTTACTGTAAGGTTTTTAGGGCTTAGGGTTCTGGAGTTTACTGTAAGGTTTTTAGGGCTTAGGGTTCTGGAGTTTACTGTAAGGTTTTTAGGGCTTAGGGTTCTGGAGTTTACTGTAAGGTTTTTAGGGCTTAGGGTTCTGGAGTTTACTGTAAGGTTTTTAGGGCTTAGGGTTCTGGAGTTTACTGTAAGGTTTTTAGGGCTTAGGGTTCTGGAGTTTACTGTAAGGTTTTTAGGGCTTAGGGTTCTGGAGTTTACTGTAAGGTTTTTAGGGCTTAGGGTTCTGGAGTTTACTGTAAGGTTTTTAGGGTTTAGGGTTCTGGAGTTTACTGTAAGGTTTTTAGGGCTTAGGGTTCTGGAGTTTACTGTAAGGTTTTTAGGGCTTAGGGTTCTGGAGTTTACTGTAAGGTTTTTAGGGCTTAGGTTCGGGAGTTTACTGTAAGGTTTTTGGGTTAGGGTTCTGGAGTTTACTGTAAGGTTTTTAGGGCTTAGGGTTCTGGAGTTTACTGTAAGGTTTTTAGGGCTTAGGGTTCTGGAGTTTACTGTAAGGTTTTTAGGGCTTAGGGTTCTGGAGTTTACTGTAAGGTTTTTAGGGCTTAGGGTTCTGGAGTTTACTGTAAGGTTTTTAGGGCTTAGGGTTCTGGAGTTTACTGTAAGGTTTTTAGGGCTTAGGGTTCTGGAGTTTACTGTAAGGTTTTTAGGGTTTAGGGTTCTGGAGTTTACTGTAAGGTTTTTAGGGCTTAGGGTTCTGGAGTTTACTGTAAGGTTTTTAGGGCTTAGGGTTCTGGAGTTTACTGTAAGGTTTTTAGGGCTTAGGGTTCTGGAGTTTACTGTAAGGTTTTTAGGGCTTAGGGTTCTGGAGTTTACTGTAAGGTTTTTAGGGTTTAGGGTTCTGGAGTTTACTGTAAGGTTTTTAGGGTTCAGGGTTCTTAGGTTTTGGGAATCAGGGTCGTTATGGTTTATAGGGCTTTCGAGCCAACTTGAAGCCTTTGGCGCCCATCAATCCCAACCTCCCCGTCAACTCGGAGGTCCGGGCACCAGCAGCATTTCCTAAAACCTAATTCCTAAACCCTAAACCCTAAACCCTAAACCCTAAACCCTCGACCCTCAACCCTAAACTCCCTATCGGAGGGCAGGTGGGGACGCCAGGGCAAAACCCGAAATCCGCATCCCAGGGTCTCATAGGTCTGTTGTGTTCAGGGCCTAGACCCTGGTTCAATGGGTTTTCTAGTTCATGGTTGGGATAGTATTAAAAATTTAAATTTATATTCCTTATTGGGTTTAAGTACCCTTAAAAATGTAAAATGTTACCCAACTATGACACAGTTTTACTCGACCCAAGAGTAACTTCAAGGTTGAGGGTTAGGGTTTAGGGTGTTTCGGGTGACCCAAGAGTCACCTGGGAAGAAACAGGGCACCCTGTCTGCTTAGAAGGGAACACAAACCCTGAACAAAAGGAGTAAGGGCCTTCTTTGGGATGTTCCCCCTTATACTAACAGCCCTTAAAGTCCTTAATAGGAATTCTAGTACCCCCTATTATGACCCTATTGGGAACTGTCAGTAGAAGGGGGAAGATCCCAAGGCATACTCTGGGTCCGAGGGACATATACGACCCACAAAAAGAAGAAGGAAAAAACAGCAAGTATTGTCTTTGTTGTGTGTCTTTTGGGGATTAGGGTTGTGTTCTGCCTGTCTTGTGTTTTTTGGTCTTTTAGTCTTATAAAAGCCTTCGCCCCCTGAAATCCTGTAACCGCCCTAAACCGTAATCTCTGAACCCTAAACCCTAAACATACACAAGACTTATGACTACTCAGTTAAACCCGAAAACCCAAGACACGCACAAACAAAACACAACACGCCCAAACATCCCCCAATCCTATTGAAATCTCCACCCCGTGGCCTTGTGTCAGATCGATCACGCCCCTTACCTCAGCCACCTGGAGGGGGCCCGTAGGGGCTACGGTTTGGGGTTTAGGGTTTAGGGTTTAGGGTTTAGGGTTTAGGGTTTAGGGGCTTAAGGATTTCTTTTATATACCTCACCCTTGAAAACCTTTGAACGTAGCCCTAGAAACCATGGTCTGAAACCCAAGAAGGGACAAACATCAAGGATTTTTGGGTCTAGCCCGGATCAGGGTTTAGGTTTCAAGGGTTTGGTCTGGTGCTCAAGGGGGGTTTGGGGTTTAGGGTTCGAGGGTTTGGGGTCTGAGGCTCAGGGGGTTTAGGGTTTCGGCATCCCGAAACCCTAATCCTAAAACCCGAAACCCTAAATCCTTAAACCCGAAACCCTAATCCTTAAACCCGAAACCCTAAATCCTAAACCCGAAACCCTATACACCCCAGGGCTCCGCCCCATAAGGCCTCATTCAGGGACTTCGTGGATGACGCAGACTTCACCGATTTCGGC